CAATATTATTATAGGAACTAGGTTGTTTAGCATAGTTCTTCAGAGACTCAAGTTTTCTTAAAATCCAGTGTGTACTGTCACGAGATTATTTTTTTAATTCATCGTTAGCTTTGTCACAATTCTACAGTTCAGTTACTTTAACTATGGATATATAAAGATATTTGTTAAGTTATATAAACTATAACTTTTTTTTTTTTTGAGACGGAGTCTTGCTCTGTTGCCCAGGCTGGAGTGCAGTGGAGCGATCTTGGCTCACCGCAAGCTCTGCTTCCCGGGTTCACGCCATTCTCCTGCCTCAGCCTCCCCAGTAGCTGGGACTATAGGCGCCCGCCACCACGCCCAGCTAATTTTTTGTATTTTTGGTAGAGACGGGGTTTCACCGTGTTAGTCAGGATGGTCTTGATCTCCTGACCTCATGATTCACCTGCCTCAGCCTCCCAAAGTGCTGGGATTTCAGGTGTGAGCCACCATGCCTGGCCTATATAAACTATAACTTCTAAATGATAGAATGTTTCATTTCTTTGAATGCAGTTATAAATTACATGTGTACCACTACTAGTTCCTAGTAAATTTCTAATTCAATGAGAATGTTATTTTTTTATACAGTGTGTTCCACCATTTGTATTATCAATGTAAGCCAATAATTTTATCTTCATTGTGGTACTTTTTAAATGACTTTGTTTTGGCAATCACAAAATGATATTTCACCTTCAGTATAATGACCCTGCAAAGTTTTATTTGATTCCATGATTGGATTAGAAAAATTGAACCATTATTGGAATTGATGAATTTTCTATTTGAAGTACCTGATGACACTGCTGTAAAATTAGTGTCTTTTTGTTTGCAAGGTTTTTCTGTTCATGAAGCAACATATAAACAGCTTTACTTTTTACATATGCAAAAAAATGTGGGTGAAATTAATTTGGAAGGGTCATTTAAGTGAAAAGTTAGGCTCTACAGATTGATACGTTAAATGCACATACTGATTGTCTTTTATGTAAATACTGATGCTTCTTCAGCAGATTTATTTCTTTTGGTTTTCATGTGATCAGTGATATCATTCTGGTCCCCAAAAAGAATAGTAAAGGTCGATATTTTGTGCAAATGAGATGTTCATCGTCAACTTTCTTGGAAACAAATTTGATTCTTAATTTTTTAATTAAGCATGAACTTCTAGTTTTTAACCTCTGCTGCAGAAAGGTAAGTGTTACCAAACTGTAAAATATATATAGTTGTAGATTTAGACAATAAATAAAGACACAATTTAAACACAGTGAAGAGAGAATTAGTACAACAAGAGTGGTCAGAATATTTTGTGTATGCTCTATGACAGAACTGCTAAGCCTTTATTTTCCACGTGGATTTCATTTACACCCAACCATGTTTTATGATGACCCCACCTGGCTACATTATGCAGATTGTGGTATAGACTTTGGAATAACAGACTAGTAGTATAACAAGTGGCTGGTGGGGACAGGAGAATTGAAAACCTTATCCCACCCGAACCTGAATGGAGTTAGTTGTTCCTAGCCATTTGAGCCTACTTTGTGGGTGAGCACGTGGTTTTTATTAGCAGATGCCCTTTATGCTGTCCTTGAAAGGGAGGTGTTAGATTGCAGCAGGAAAGGATCAGGATAATACTGGTAATTGCTGATTGTCTTTCCATTTTACCGTTTGTTAAAGTGTGAATTCTGTTCACTGCACATACATCTCACTTGTCATTAGAAAATACCAAGACAAGCTGGTCACGGTGGCTTATGCCTGTGATCCGAGCACTTTGGGAGGTGGAGGCAGGAGAATCACTTGATACCAGGAGTTCAAGACCAGCCTGGGCAACACAGCGAGACCCCATCTCTATATAAAAAATTTTAAAAATTAGCTCTGGTGGCACACACCTATAGTTCCTGCTACTTGGGAGCCTGAGGCAGGAGGATCACTTGAGCCTGGGAGGTTGAGGCTGTGATGAGCTGTGATCATGCCACTGCACTCCAGCCTGAGCTTAAGAGCAAGACTCCTTCTCTAAAAAAAAGAGGAAAGAAAAGATCAAAACAGAAGATGGAACAAGAAAGTGAGGGCTACCAAATATCTCCTGGCTTATTTTGCTGCAAATATTAATAATAATACTTTTTATTCTTTTTTTGAAATGGAGTTTCGCTCTTGTTGCCCAGGCTGGAGTGCAATGGTGTGATCTCAGCTCACTGCAGCCTCCACCTCCTGGGTTCAAGTGATTCTTCTGCCTCAGCCTCCTGAGTAGCTGGGATTACAGGGGCCTGCCACCATGCCTGGGTAATTTTTTGTATTTGTTTTTTAGTAGAGACGGGGTTCACCATGTTGGCCAGGCTGGTTTCTTGAACTCCCAACCTCAGGTGATCCACCGGCCTTGGCCTCCCAAAGTGCTTGAGCTTACAGGTGTGAGCCACCACGCCAGGCCCACAGTTTTTTCCTGTCATGAGCACATGTGTCCCAGTTGATACCTAAGTGTATAGAAAGCCCTGGGAAATTGGGAACAGCATTATTTTGTGGATACCTCTGGCTTATATAGTATGTCATGAGAATATAGTAGGTCCATGTCATGATGTTCAGTCAAATGTTTGAATTACATCTTTCCATTCTGTTTATGTTATAGACATTGTCACTGAAAATTTGGAGTATTAGAAGACCCCACTGACAGTGACAAATAAAGGATTTATCACACAGAACAAGATACCCAGCAGTACACAGTCCAGGCCTGGTATAGCACTTAATTATGTTATCAGTGGCCCGAGGCCTTTTTTTTTTTTGACCCTGACATGATATAAGGTCTCTTAGTCTTGCTGCTGTAGCATGCTCACTGTGTGACTATGTCCTCATTATTATGTTTGCAAGATGGCTGCTGCATCTCTGAGCACTGCATCAGTTCCTAAGAAGGTAGAATGGCGAAATGTCTCAAACTTTCTTGGAAGCCCCATTAGGTGACTTATGTTTCTGTGTCATTGGCTACAACTGAGTTACGTGGCCACCCCTTGCTGCAGTGAATCTAGGAAAGTGAGTAGTATTGATGACTTTTCTGGTATTGTTTTGGATCTTTTAGTTTCTTCAAGTGTACCATCAAAAATCCTAGTATTCTGACCAGGCGCAGTGGCTCACGCCTGTAAGCCCAGGATTTTGGGAGGCAAAGACAGGCAAATCACTTGAGGTCAGGAGTTCAAGACCAGCCGGCCATGGTGGCCGGCTGTAGTCCCAGCTACTCAGGAGGCTGAGGCAAGAGAATTGCTTGAACTTGCGTGGTTGCAGTGAGCAGAGAACACACTGCTGCACTCCAGCCTGGGCAACAGAGTGAGACTCTGTCTCAGAAAAAAAAAATCTAGTTTTCAGAAGTGTGTGACAGCAAAGGCCAGGCATCCTAGGCTGTACACAGTAAGGGAGCTCTTTTAAGTTGGGGGCATTGTGGTGAGATTGTGCTTTAAAGGCATACTCCGATGGCTGTGTGGTAGATTGGGTTGAGGGGTGACCAAATGGAAGCAAGGAGAGACTGTTGAGGAGACTTTTGCAATGGTCTAAGTGAGATTTTTAGGGGCCTGAACTAGGAAACTTTTTATAGGAATGAAGAGGAGACTGAAGATTCCAAAATATGTAGGACATCAAGTGGGTAGGACTCAGTGGTTGGTTGACTGTAGAGACAAGGAGAGAGTGAAGAAGAGTCAAAGATGATGGCTCAGGTTTCTAGCAGAAAAAAAAAAAAAAAATGGTGCCACCAACAGAGACCAAAAAAGAGTAGAGGAGAAAGTTTAAGTTGGTTACCTTTTTAGACACAATGAGTCCTGAGGTATATGGTTTTCTTTCATGTGCAGATCTTTAGCCACTAACTGGGAAAAGACAGATTTGTTATATGTTAACAAATATATTTTCTTTAATAATTTCCCTTGAGATTTTTATTTGCTTTTTGTTGTCCAGAAGTTTCCAACATTTGTGTAGTCAGTGCTGTTCATCTTCATTTATATTTCTGGCTTTAGTTCATAGAGCCTTTCTTTTCCCCAAATGATAGAAGTATTTACCACATTTTTTTCTTGTTCTTCTCTGCCTTAAATGTTGATTGATCAGGATTTTATTTTGATGAGTAGGATTAAGTAAGTAAAGAAAACGGAAGAGCATTTTCAATTGTTAGAATATGATTAACATGACTTCGTTTCCAAGGTGTAGTATAAAATATGAAATACTGAATTTTTCTTTTAAAAGTACCTCTGACATTTTTTTTTTTAATGCTGTTGATGTTTCAGAAATACTCTGCTGTTTGTTTCTGTCAGAATTAAAAAGGCTGGACAAGGTGGCTTGCACCTGTAATCCCAGCACTTAGGGAGGCCGAGACGAGGATCTCTTGAGGCCAGGAGTTTGACACCAGCCTGGTCAACATAGCAAGACCCAGTATCTACAAAAACTAAAAAAAAAAATTAACCAGGCGCAGTGGTGCGTGCCTGTATTCCCAGCTGCTTGGGAGGCTGAGGCAGGAGAATTGGTGTAATGGGGTTAAGCCTTGGATTTTCAGGTTGTGGTGAGCCGTGATTCCACCACTGCACTTGTACTCCAGCCAGAGTAACAGAGTGGTATGCTGTTTTTTGTTTGTTTGTTTTTATTTTCTTTTCCTTTTTTTTGAGACGGGGTTTCGCTCTTGTTGCCTAGGCTGGAGTGCGGTGGCGCAATATTGGCACACTGCAACCTCCGCCTCCCGGGTTTTAAGCTATTCTCCTGCCTCAGCCTCCCAAGTAGCTGGGTTTACAAGCATGCGCCACAACATCCAGTTAATTACTGTATTTTTAGTAGAGATAGGGTTTCACCATGTTGGTCAGGCTGGTCTCAAACTCCTGACCTCAAGTGATCTGCCCGCCTTGGCCTCCCAAAGTGCTGGGATTACAGGCGTGAGCCATTGTGCCCAGCTGCTGTTTCAGGAAAAAAAAAAAACACCCCAGATCTTGTATTTTTTTTATAAATCAAAATTAAAATAGGTATTTCATGTATTCTGACAGCAGGAGGATGCATTAGCACAACAGGCCTTTGAAGAGGCTCGGAGAAGGACACGCGAATTTGAAGATAGAGACAGGTCTCATCGGGAGGAAATGGAGGTGAGAGTTTCACAGCTGCTGGCAGTAACTGGTTAGTACTTTCCCCCAAACTCTCAGGCTCTGTTTGTGATGTTTGTGCATAATGCTTTTTAATGGTTTAATTTTGTCTTTTCTTTTTAAAAAGTTGTATTCTCTGACTTTGTATTTATTAAATGTAATTGCTGTAAAGAAATTTATTCTAATTTTAAGGTTGTACATCAATTCCTCATTCATTGATCTTCATAAAAATCATTTACTATAATAAGGTATATTTTCTCTTAATTTATTTACCCAAAATCTCACCTATTTTTTTTTCTTGTTTTTCAAATTATTTGTAAAAACTGGCTTATGTTAACATAGACTGCATATTTTTAGAACATTATTAAAACTCTTTGGAGTAATATTACTTTCCATTTTCCTATGAATATTTATCTTGATTTTGTAGCTATAATTGTCAGTCATTTGTGTGATTTTTAAAGGAAAATTTAATATTTTCAAACTATTCAAAGAACGGAATTAACAAACTTTCTTTTAACCTTTCAATTGGAAAATACGGAAACAGAAATCAACATTAACAAATCTGTAGCTTCCTTTGCTGGTTTACTTAGGACAAATTATTAAAAATAATAATAATAAATCTATAGCTGAATGAATTATTGTAAGGCTAACATCCTTACAACTGCAGTTTGGTCAAAAAATAAAACTTCGAGCCTGAGCAACTCTGTCTCTATAAAAAGTAAGAAAATTACCTGGGTGTGGTGGCACATGCCTGTAGCTTTAGTCACTTGGTAGGCCAAGGTAGGAGAATCACTTGAGCCATGGAGTTTGAGGTTACAGTGAGCAGTAATTGTGCCCCTGTATTCCAGCCTGGATGACAGAGTGAGATCCTGCCTCTATAAAATAAATAAGTAAAACATAAATAAAACTTTGACAGCTACCCTAGCAGCCCCTTCCATATATACATCTAATCATGACTTTCTCATGATTTCTGCTCAAAAGTAATCATTATTTCTTTTTTTTTTTTTTTTTTTTTTTTTTTTAGATGGAATCTTCCTTTGTTGCCCAGGCTGGAGTATAGTGGCGTGATCTCAGCTCACTGCAGCCTATACCTCCCAGGTTCAAGTGATTCTCCTGCCTCAGCATCCTGAATAGCTGGGATTACAGGTGCACACCACCACGCCCAGCTAATTTGTGTATTTTTAGTAGAGGCAGGGTTTCACCATGTTGGTCAGGCTGGTCTCAGACTCCTGACCTCATGATCCACCTGCCTGGGCCTCCCAAAGTGCTGGGATTACAGGCGTGAACCACTGCGTCCAGCCCATTATTTCAATTTTTTTTTTTTTTTGAGACGGAGTCTCCCTCTGTCGCCCAGACTGGAGTGCAGTGGCGAGATCTCAGCTCACTGCAAGCTCTGCCTCCTGGGTTCATGCCATTCTCCTGCCTCAGCCTCCAGAGTAGGTGGGACTACAGGCGCCTGCCACCATGCCCGGCTAATTTTTTGTATTTTTAGTAGAGATGGGGTTTCATCGTGTTAGCCAAGATGGTCTCGATCTCCTGACCTCATGATCTGCCCACCTCGGCCTCCCAAAGTGCTGCGATTACAGGCATGAGCCACCGCGGCTGGCCTATTTCAATTTTTATAGTTATTTTGTTTGTTTGTTTGTTTGTTTGTTTATTTATTTTGAGACGGAGTCTTGCTCTGTCACCTAGGCTGGAGTGCAGTGGCCGGATCTCAGCTCACTGCAAGCTCCGCCTCCTGGGTTTACACCTATTCTCCTGCCTCAGCCTTCCGAGTAGCTGGGACTACAGGCGCCCGCCACCTCCCCTGGCTAGTTTTTTGTATTTTTTAGTAGAGACGGGGTTTCACCGGGTTAGCCATGATGGTCTCGATCTCCTGACCTCGTGATCCACCCGTCTCGGCCTCCCAAAGTGCTGGGATTACACGCTTGAGCCACCGCGCCCGGCCTATAGTTAATTTCTTGTATTTCTTTAGTTTTAGTACCCATTGAAGTTTAGTCTTGCCTAGTTTTAAAATTTGATCTTTTTTCCCCCGCTTTTTTAAATCTACCATGTTGGTTTCTGAATTTTGATGTGTCTTTTAATTGACAGTGGAATTTTAACCTTTTTTACACAAAATTGTACCCTGCTTTAAGCAGACCTCAATTACAAAAATTAATATTCAAAGTATATACAAATTGTTCAGAAATACAGATTTTCTTTAAAAAGTATATTCTAGGGCCAGGTGCCATGGCTCACACTTTTAATCCCAGCACTTTGGGAGGCTGAGGCGGGAGGATTGCTTGAGGCTGGGAATTTGAGACCATCTTGGGCAAAATAGCAAGCTCTTATCTTTGCAAAATATAAAAAATTAGCCAGCATAGTGGCACATGCCTGTCGTCCTAGCTACTCAGGAGGCTGAGGCAAGAGAGGCTAAGCTTGAGCCTAGGAGCTTAAGGCTGCTCAAGGGAGCTAATGACATGGCCACTTGTATCCAGCGCTGGATTGACGAGCAGAAACGCCTATCTCAAAAAAAAGAAAAAAAAAACGGCTGGCGGCGCGGGTCAAGGCCTGCTGAACCAGCCACTGAGGGAGCGAAGGCCGGAGACGGAGTGATCGACGGAGTCAGGAGACAGAGACATCATTGGCCTTAACGCCCGGGCCTGAAACCTCTGGCGCTCTACTAAAAAATACAAAGAGAACTAGTCGTGCCGGCTAGGACTGGTGGCGTGGGTGCCTGATAGTCGAGCTACTCGGGAGAAGGCGTGAGGCAGTGGAGAACTAGGTGTAAACCATGGAGGGGCAGAGCTTGCAGTGAGCTGAGATCCGGCCACTGCACTCCAGCCTGGGCGACAGAGCGAGACTCTGTCTCAAAAAAAAAAAAAAAAGTATATTCTGGCAAAAGTAATCAAGATAAGAACTAATGTGTTTGAAGAAGAATGTCAGATGTTACTGTATATTATGCTTCAAGTTTATAAACTTTGTATCAACATGAACATTTCATACAAGAAGAAATAGAAAAAGCACACATTCATCTTTGGTAATCAAAACACATTAAAATATAATTACAGTACATCAACTAAATAGAACCATTTCAGGTGTTAAAAATCAATATTATGTACCTAAGATTGTTAAATTCATGTCCTACATACTTTTGGAATCTACAGATAGTAGAATAGTGGTTGCCAGGGGAAATGGGAGTTAGTTACTTAAAGGATATAGAGTTTCAGTTTTGCAAGATGAAGAGAGTTCTAGTTGGTTGCACAACAGTGTGAATGTACTTAACACTACTGAATGTATGCTTCAAAAATGGCTAAGATGGTAAGTTTTATGATACATATATTTTACCACTTTTTTAAAGTTTTAAGTCAATGTTACATAATGAAGAAAATTTGTGGGTTTTTTCCAAGCACAAAATTATATGTACACTATTATTTAAATTAAGGTGTGTGTGTGTGTGGACAGACAGTGGCTAAGAGCCCAGACTCTACAGCCAGACAGAAGTCTGAATCTGGCTCTGTCATTTACTTTGTCAGCTTGGACAGCTTACTTCACTTTTCTATGACTGAGGTTCCTCATCTACAGAATAGGTGTAATAATCCTGCCTGTCATATGGTCATTGTGAGGATTTTAAATGAGTAGATACATGTGAAACCACTTTGAGTATGTGCCACTGACTAGGTGTCGTGCTATTATTATTGTTAATATTATTTAAAGTACTACATAAAATTTCTGGTTGTGTGTTAAAATATATTTACTAAGAATACATTTAAAAATCAAGCCTATTTAGTGTTTAGTGTATGAAATAAATTGTGTGTGTGTGTGTGTATGTGTGATGGAGTCTCACTCTTGTCGCCCAGGCTGGAGTGCAGTGGCACAATGTCGGCTCACCGCAACCTCTGCCTCCCGGGTTCAAGCGATGATCCTGCCTCAGTCTACTGAGTAGCTGGGATTACAGGTTCCCGCCACCACACCTGGCTAATTTTTGTATTTTTAGTAGAGACGAGGTTTCACCATGTTGGCCAGGCTGGTCTCAAACTCCTGACCTCAGGTGATCTACCTGCCTCAGCCTCCCAAAGTGCTGGAATTACAGGAGTGAGCTGCCATGCCCAGCCTTGAAATAAAATTTAGTATCTTTTTTTTGGGGGGGGGAGATAGGGTCTCACTCTGTTGCCCAGGCTGGAGTGCAGTGGTGCGAACACGACTCACTGTAGCCTCAACCTCCTGGGCTCAAGCGGTTCTCCCTCCTTGATCTCCCAAAGTGCTGGGATTACTGGTGTGAACCACTGCACACAGCCTAAAATTTAGTATCTTTTAGTGATTGCTAGATCTCTTTGTCAGTGAGGTAGTTAATCTAATGGGCTGATAGCAGCTGAGGATGTCCCCAAGAATACTTGTTAGCTAAGGGAAGAAAATGGAGGGATATATGTGATATATTTGTTTTCTTTGATGCTGTTATAATTCTTGTGATTTTCATATGTGACTACAAGACTTCCACACCATGCCCTTTCATTCTGTATCTGTAAAATTTAGAAGCTTTAAAATGTATAATATACATTTTTTATAATTCTGAACCTTTTTGCTCATGCCATTTGTTCCCTGATGTAGAATGTTCTTTTCTGTCCGTCAAGGCCCAACCTGAATGTTGTCGTTAAATGTCAGACCTTTCCTCAGTCTTCTTAATCATAATCATAAAGCCCTTCCACTCTGTAGCACTTTTTATTTCTACTACAACATGTTGAAACAATTATAAACATTAGTGCCCTCCACTTTATGGCAATCCCATGAGATGGAGCCCCTGATTTTTGTGTCTTCCACATTACCTACCACAATGCTTTGTACACTGCTTAGTTGTTCATTGTATCTTCAAAAAACAGCCCCTATCCTGACTGTCTGAAAACTAGAATTATAGGAGAGCCTGCTAGGATAGTTCAAGTAGATAATACATATTGATGGTGTTGGGAAAGATTCTAAATATAATCTGTTGGTTTATATTAACTAGTTAAGTAAAGTAATAAACCCCAAGTGTATTGGGCTGTATTCTGCATTAGGGAC